AATTTACCATTATTTATTTATTTAGTAGACCTAGCTTACTCGAGATTCAAGAAGTTAAATACTCGTATGATAGTTTTCACTGCACATTGTCACTATTTATATTTTTTGTGTTTAGATTTTTCCATCACATAATAAAATTGACTTATAACTCTTTGTCATCCAAATTTCATATTCGAACCTTTAAACCGGTAACAGCCAGTTGGTCACAAGCAAATCCCTGTTTTTGGTTGTCATATTATTCAAGAGACTTACACACTAAAGATCATTAGACTTTGTTGTGCTGGTTAAGAATCAGTTCTTTGAATCTCAATCCAGCCTTGTTCAACTTGTCGTAACTAGCTAGTGCTGCCAGTGTGAAAAAAATAGAGCGTGGTGAAATTAATGTCCTAAAGTGTATCCATGGCTTTACCTGGGCAAAAATGCATAAGAGAGACACTAAGTAGTACTGATCGGAACATGTGTTCACTAACCTGGATCCCATAGTAGGCTGCAGATGTCGTCTTAGTCCTCAGGGATTACCCTTGTCAAATCTTACAAAACCCTCAGACTTGACTTAAATAACAATCTTAAACTTCTTCTCTCGGTTAAAATAAAATGCTCCTTACTTTAATATTAACTAGAGATCATTCAGTGAAATATGCAATGTACAGACTTCTCTATTTTCACACCACACTGTGAATAAAACATGTGATTGGAGTTTCTTCCATTTGTTTTTATCGACATTCTTATGTTCTGAAACCACAGTAGTAGCCTATGCTGACTACGGTAGCAGTAGCTTGCAGTACTAGACTTTCTATTGTTCTGATTTATTGCTGTAAGTACAGTGTTGTGTAATTTTTGTTTTGCTTGAGTAAGCTTGATTTTAAACATCACAGTTTTTATTACTGAACCAAGGTTAATCACTTAACATATCACGATTGCGCAATACTATTATTTGTATTTTGATTATGTAAAATGCACTACATCCGGTTAGTACGGCCGTTTTGTAGTCCGGCCAGTGGTCCGGTCCCGAGGTGGCCGAACTACAGGGAGTCTACTGTAGTTCAAAAAGTCTGACATTGGTCCACTTAAAACCCGCTGGGGCGGAGCCCTTTTGACGGATCTACACCACACTTCACACAAACCATCCTTGAAAGATGCTTAATAATGCCTGTAAGTTTCATTACAATCTGTGTAGCAGTTTCGGAGTCCATAACGTATATACATATATATATATACATACATAGTTCCTCTTTTATAGATATAGACATAGACTAACCAACACAAGTAAACTTCTCATCCCATTGTAAATTTTGAAGTACGTTTTTCGTGTCTAGTTCATGTACGTGACACATGGGCGCTAGTGTCGAGGAAACTTTGTTTCTATTATTTTAGGGTTAATTTCTTGATTTGTGCTTTACTGTTTGGTTATATAACTAGGGGACAAGTTGTTGTTTATGATTAGATCGTATTATTTGGTTAAACGAGGTTTTAAATGGCTGTAATAACGGGAAACAAATTTTAAACAAAACACGACCTCTACATAAACCGTACAGAACTAACAACAAAATTGTCTTCAGCTGTTCCATAAGGATGAGAAATCTACTAAGGGAGTATGTTTTATCTATGATATAGATATGTATTTAACTTAATCAAATTATTCATGCAGGCTTTAGAAGTTCACCAGGCTCAATACATATTTTGTTATATTGTACTAGCTGTTACCCACCGCCTTCACCCCCGTTTGACTTCATAAGTATTTATAAAACTATTGATTGCTTAAGTTAAACTGAAATAAACAAACCAGAATACAGTAATACAAACAAATAATCACACCTGATTTTAATAAGGTAATAAATTGAAAGAATAACATACAAATAAGTACAGCTGAGGTATTTTTAACATTAGGTATATTGAAAGTTCCCTTTGGAAAGCAATTACGACCTTAAAGAGCAATTTATGAAATAATGGATAGTTTTGAGCAAAGTTTCTCGTCATGACGAACATTTTAAGTATATGGTTGATGGGGGTGTGACTTGTAGTTTTCTCTGACTATCGTCGGTTTAAATTTAGAAAAATCCTGCTTTTCACACAGACAGCTGTATGTTGCGTGCTCACGTGGTGGTAGGGAGGCCTAAAAACTGATATATAAGTTTTATATATTTAGAGATGTATATATTTATTCACCTAATTAAAAAACAAATAACATTGTTATGCACTGGCAATTAAGTAAAATATTCTATTTTTATTTTTGGTATACACTTTTATTATTCATTGTAAAGAACGAATTGCCATTTAATATAATAGTTGTTGAGCGCAGCAACGCGTGGCGGGTAACTGCTAGTTTCAAATATGGATAGATTCTACATATGGTCAAGTTTGAACGGAAGAAATGTGTTAATCTTTTTGTCCATAGTGTATTACCAATCCGTCCAAGTGATCGCATCATCAATTGGTAATTGATTGTTCATTATAAAAATATCATAACCAAAATTATTACGTTTATTTTTGTTTGTTGAAAGGAAGATATTTTTATTTTATCTATCTACTAGCAGTGTACCCGTTCTTCGTACGGGGTTGGCATATAAGTATAAAATGCTTATTGCAGTTATACTCTAGCGTTGCGTTTGCAATGGGGGAGGATAAGGCTTGAGAGAGTTTGGTTCTTTATATTAACAGTATGCTATATTATTACAGATATAGTATAGTATATACAGTATAGTATTACAAATTTACCATAGCCATTCTGTTCTACAACTGCACCTAAGCAATATAAATAATACCCCCGCCACAGCAAACCTGCAGACTTAGCGAATTTCCATTTGCCTGATTGGATTTACACTAAAATGTCTCCTTAAAAATATCACATTTGTTCCCTATTTAAACAGAATTAGTTTAAAACACTTTCGCTACTGCAATAGTACAAAATTTTCCATTCACATGGACCAGCGACGCACATATGCGATGGCCGGTTCCCACCCATAGACTGCCGTCGCATATATGCGACGGCTAATCACATTAAAATAGACTGCCGACGCATATTTGCGTCGGGGTTCTAATGTTATTAAAATGCTTATATCTTTGTAGTGGTCTATTTGAAGGCACTGAATTCCCTGCAGTGGTCTACAGAGATGTCTGACGCACAACTGCGTCGCTTGGTCTGTGGACATGATGATTGGTGACGTCATAATATAATAGTTGGAAAAACTGGTCTTTACTTTTCTGCATCACTGTATGTATGTATACAGTATGTATGCTGCATTAACCTATGTAGCTTTTATATTTTTCAGTTATAAACTGTTCTTGAATAATCTGTTTATTTCTTTACTTACTTTCACCTTAATAAACAAAAAAAATTAACTGTCGCATATATGCGACGTTTAGTCTATTTCAAGAAAACAATGATAATTTTCACTATTATCTTCGCTGTAGACCGGGCGTCGCAAATATGCGACATTACAAAAGGTTATAAAAAATACAAATAAACAAGAATAATTTATTTACAAACACGATTGTAGCGTATTAAAATGTAAATGATCACTGTTTTACAGGTTTTCGCCCGTGGTCTGTGTGTACTGTTATCCAAGTGACAGTCGGTCTTTGTGTAAGATTCAAATGTATACCTCGGTCTGTGGCAAAGACCGCGGCGTCGCATATATGCGACGCTCAGTAGCCAACATGTTAACAAATACTTAGGTTTGCTGCAACGGGGAGGGTAAAAAAGTTTTTTTTTAATGTCAAATGTTAAAAGGTACTGTAGTTTAGTAAGAAATTAATGTATTTTCCAAATTGTATCAAAATATGTTCATAAACAAGCAAACTACAACCGTTGACTTATTCTCCATAAGAATAACATGGCAATTTAAAAATAAAAATTTTTTGGAATTTTATCCGTAACAATTAGGCGCATAATAAAGCTTCAATATACTAAATTATTTGTTTTTTTAAGCTCTACAAAATGGTTTAGAAAGAAATTGTGAAATTTTACGTTTTTAGGGTCAAAAATGGGAAAAACCTACTTTTACCAAATAAAACCCCCCATAAACCCCCGTTCCCATAGTCTGATCATGCTGGTTCGCGAACTCATTCAAGTTTATCCAGCCTTACACCTTCAAACCAAATTTTATCAAAATCGGACAAAAATTACTCAAGTTATCGTGCGGATGGACACATATATATATATATATAAAAATTTGAACGAATGGTGTTTTTGTCCTCTGGGGACATCAAAATGAAAAAGTAAATCGGTCCCAGGCCTAGGTCTTACCATGAGACCTACGGTAATAGCTACTTCCCTATAGGGAAATTCGCTAAAAAGTAAATTTTCAAACATTTACACAATATCACAAATTATGTATTAAATTAAAAACATACACTTTACTGTAAACAATCCTGCTTCGACAGTTCTCATTGTGTATCACAGCTTTTTGATGCTGCTTACTTCAAATTAGCTGTTATCATAATGGGAAAAAATATGATAGTGCTGCACCCTGTTGGTAAACCTTATAACTTTTTAATGCTATTAAATATTTTAGAACAAACTTTATTGGTCGAATCAGCTGACAAAATTTTTGAATTCCTTTTAAAAGTGAATACCCATAAGGTTAACATGGAAAACTCCAGAGTTACTGGGGCGGAGCCTGAAAGGAGTTTTGAGATAACAATATTAAAGGTTATAAAAAATACAAATAAACAAGAATAATTTATTTACAAACACGATTGTAGCGTATTAAAATGCTAATGATCACTGTTTTACAGGTTTTCGCCCGTGGTAGTTTATATGTTATATAAACATATATGTTAATCGCATATATGTTAATCGGGAATGTGTACTATCATCACCCTAAATTTCAGCCCAATCCAACCAGTATTCTTTGCGTTTTTGTCACAAACATACATACATCCAAACTTTCTCATTAATTTATAATATTAGTAGGAAACACAATAATTCCAAAGAGCTATAAAGCAATATATTGTTTTTTGGTAATTTGTAGAGGTAACTAATGTGACTATCTTTTTAGGTTTGGAGACTTGTGACAACATCTTCACCAACAACATTTCAACAACAACTCATCTTCAACATTTCATCAACAACTTGATCTTCACGTATCGTTACTGCAGAATGTTTGAGGAGGGCCTTTCCGAGGTAAGACAACTGATTTTATTTTCATGTTTGGAAATGTATGCATGATTGTACCCTTGCATTGTGTCATATAGTAAGAGCAATAATTGTTTAAATTATAAACAAACCTAGGGGTGGTTTTTGGTACCAAGCCTTGTCCCCCTTTTGTATCGAAGTCAGAGTATCAAAGTTTATAATTTACAAAAATTCATTAAATTAAAAATAAATTCAATAAAAATTCAATTCATATAAAAGAAATAAACCTATAAAAAAATTCGGAAAATTCTAAAAGATTACATAATAAATTTATTATTATATTCTTTTGATGAGTTTTCCACCTCCCAGAACTAGATGTAGTATTTTTATTTTATGTTTTTTGACACTATTCACTGTACCACCTATGTACATTAGTTATGATGAATAAAGGGGTTTGAATATAAATATACGAGCAGTAATATTAAAAAAAAAACTTTTCATTTAGGCCTACCAAAGAAGTTTTTAATATTTTACTAAAAAACAAACCATATAATATAAAAAGAAAGTGGAGGCCAAACCAGGGCCGGGGATAGTAGCTAGTAAGGGCTAGACCACTCCGTGTACCTGCATCCCGCTCGATTCACCCTGTGACGTCACGTGGTTGTCAGCCGCGCCTGTACTGTAGTATGGTGGCAATGCTCGGCAGCGTGCGCGCCCTGTTTCGAATTAAAATTCCCGCTAAATTTGAAGACCTATTTTATTATCCTCTGGCATTCTTAAAGGAAATTAAATTGTCTATGGAATGGTGTAACTTGTTCATATGAATATTATTATTTACTATTTGTTATTGAAGATCAAAGTACGAAGAATTGTACTAGAATTTGAACATGTGGTTACTTTAATAATGTTTTTGAAAAAATATGAAATATTTAACCAAATAAAATAAACAATTTATTTGTGTTCCCTAAGGGTTTCTCGAAAAAACAAACATATATTTGTCTTTTTCTATAGTATTACTTATATTCAAGTGTATTTATTTTTACAATTTTTAAGACGAGCTTATTAAAAAATTAGGTTAAAATAAAAAAAAAAATAAAATATTTGGGTGGCGATATAAATGTTTAATTAGAATTTCCTATCATGTTCTCAAAATTTTTAAAATGTAAACTAACACTTTTTTTAATTTAAAACTCAAGCAGTTTTAAAACTAATGATTGTTCTGTGACACTTTTGATTGTTTCAAACAAATTTGCTTATCGAAAAACCTCAAGTAATTAATATATAACAAATTATACAGTCACTGAAAATCGTAAAATAATTTATTTTGGTAAAAAAAAAATACAACCGACTACAAACGCTCTAAAAAGAATTAAATAATTTCAATAAAGTAAACTTTTGTATTAGAGCTGCAAGATATTCTTACGTTTTATGCTAGCTAAAACTTTATTTTTTCGTCTAGCTAATTTCAGTTGCGATTTTAAGATTACTACTTCAGTTTGTAGTTTTTCATTTATTTCTGTTTTGCTTTTACAGTCTTTGCAATTGATCAAATCTGGTATTCTATCGCGATTCATCTTTGTGCCAGTGCCACATTCTCCAGGATTTTACAAACAATAATTCCATAGGAAACAGATAAAAAACATAATCAAACTTTCAGTCTGTCACTTATTATTTGACTTCAGAACACTTCTAACCACAGCTAACATTAAAATTGAACTACATACTTAGCACATTAAATGCAAACAAACAAGGGGTTCATTGCAGAAGCGCTGGGCGAGGCAACCACGTGACGTCACGCGGCCACCGACCCCCCCACTACCTGGCGCGGCGGCTTCTGCCAAACATCAAAAGAGTGGTCTAGCCCTTACTAGCTGCTATCCCCGGCCCTGGGCCAAACTACGAATGGGTGAAATTCAGGAAAATTGTTTCCCAAAATCTTTTTATGTACAATGATTTTAAACTGAAACATGTTAAACGATCTTCAGATCATCACATCTCTTGTTTATGTTAAACATCAAAACCAAGCACAGTAATTATTTTCTACAAGTTGTCACCATTAACAAATGTATTAGGCAAAATTCATTTACTTTTCTTTGCAAAGCAATTCGTAGCTTTTGACAAGTTTGCCAGGTGTTATACACCATTCACTTCATTAGTTAAAGGTTATACTTAGGCTATTTTGCATATTCCACTAACCTGTTGTTCCTTGGCCAAGCATTTTTTTATTATTATGTATTTTTATCTTTGTGTGGAGGAATCCTTAGATAAGAATCATCTTCGGGATCCTTATTTCAATGTGAGTTTTAAATCATGACATTTTATTCTGTAGTTGTATTAACGTAACTTCAATTGCAATGCTAAGGCTCTATTTTGGACAGCCTATGGTGAATCAAGGTCTGGGTTTTGTCCCAAACCAGTAATCTTTCACCCTTACAGAGGTCGATCCTTTATTACTGGCAAGAACTGCATTTTTGAATAATAACTCACAATTAATTCTGAAGATTGCAGTACCGTTGAAGTAGGCCTAACCCCATTTGAACCAGGAACATAAACACACTTCACAATAACATCACCATCACGCCTTTAAATTTATGATCACTAAAACCGTAATATGGCTACTACACTGTAATAAATCTGTACGATTAATATTACAAAACTAAGTAAAGGTGTTAAAATTATTTCATAAAATATTACAACTACAACCCATTTGCCAGTTGGTGTACAACATCAGGGTGTCTACCTGTCACGGATGTCACCGAAGTCCCCGAAAAGTCACCGATTTTAGTACAGTAATGTGTCACCGATGTCCCCTATTGTCACGGAATTTGCTTAAATTGTCACCTAAATTTTTGTAGACCTACAGATTTTTATTTATTTTTGGGACAACACTAAATCTTTAGACGAAACTTGTCATGTATCAATAATATTATACTATCACATACAACAGTTAATCTAGTCTAGATTTAGACTAGATGATTCCAAATAAAATGATGGCGATGCAAACTGCGAAGTTAATACCATGTTATCATCCGAAAACTAGTCAGTTTAGTACTGTAGCTAGTCAGGCAACCGGCCAAAATCTTGCCGACATAAAACTATTGTGCCAGTTCCAGTATCAAGACAAATTTTGCAATGTCTCTTATGGAGTCAGGCAACCGGCCTGTGTTTTGTCCGCACGAAAATACCGTACAATAATGGTATTACCGTAGCTTACCAGTCTCGGATAGAGTCAGGCAACCAGCCTGTGTCTCACCGGCACGAAAATATCGTGCAAATAATGCTAACTTGCTACCGTAGCCGTAAGGTTTAGGTTAATTCCATGTACGTAAACTAGTTAAAATACCGCCAATAAAAAGACTGTTAAGACATTTAAAAAAATAAAAAATATATAAAAGAAAAGAACACTTGCATCTGTGCATTAGTTTTACACGTTCAATGCGCTACGAGGTCTCGTATCGTACCTAGCCCGTTGTGCGGGACCCATAATTTGGCTTCTTTCCTTAAGTTACAACATCGATATTTTGGCATACAGTTATCGTAAAGAAATGAAACTTGTACATATATAATGCATTTTTATTGATCTATCAACTAACTAGCAAACATGAAATGAACAAGATAAATAGATCTCGTAACGCACTGAAGTAATAAACTTTTACTTTATTACGATACGAGACCTCTGGATCTCGTATCAAAAATAATTGTTCCATGCACCGCATGAGGCTAATCGGCTAATGGGGTGATTAGTATAGTAACCATGGCAACTTGTTGAATGCTTGGATGAATGAAGGAAACCGAAGAAATAATTAAAGAACGAAGAGAAAGAATAATGGCTTTTTTATGTTGATATATTTATGAGCTATCTAATGTTTTATAGGTTAGATAATAATTGTTTTCAACAACGCGAACATAAATTATTTTTAATTATTGACGTGTTTCCCTTCTGAAACAGCAGTAACGGATGCGTATAATAAAGATCAATGACCAAAAATATCACTATTGTGCAATGTTGTATTTTTATGTAAAAAGCAAATCATGGCATTATTTCGAATATTTCTCCTTCTTCCTACTCAATCAGTGATAAATAATTGTCAAACCGAACAAGGAATTTCTGATAAACAACTTTGTATCATTGTTTTGCGATTGGAATTCCCTTCCCCAGCCCTTTAGGGAAGTGGTGCAAGTCTAAATATAGCTTCAAGGTTAAACACCCACCCCTTCCCACCGCCCACTCTACTCACGGTGGCTCGCACTCATTTCGAGGTCATTGCCCAACCCCAGAATTATAACAAAATAAACTAAACACAGTAATTTGGAAACATATTTTATTTGTATTTTATTTAGCCTGAAATCAGCCATAAGGAAATGCATCCTAAAAGATGAGCACTTTATGAGTAGGAGCATAGATAAAACATGAGTGTGTTTTATCCATGGTAGGAGCTAATGATTATAAGTTCCACGATTGATCAACATCATGTTTATCATGTTTAATGTTTATTTATTGTTCTCTTCACTCCCTTTACTTATACGTCTACGATCAGTTTGCCACTTCTAGAGAATTGATTGTTTTCTAGGGATGATTGTTTTCTGGCGTTTGAAAATGAGTTCTATATTTAACATTAAGATCCTGAATTTATATTAGGCCTTGTTTGTGACTTAATATACATTTTTTACTTCAACAGCAAATATAAAATTAACTCGCAGAAATTTACTTAGTTCGATGTCACTGATTTTTGTAGATAGGGCCCCCAAATGTCCCCAAAATGTCACTAATTTTTCAAATAGCTTACTGGTAGACACCCTGAACATACACGTCGGGATGTAAACAAAGCTTAACTAGCGTTCAGCACTCCCAGGGAGAAAATTTAGAAATCAACGTCATTTAGGAAATTATAGAATCAACGTCCCATGGGCTAGCTCAAATCGGCCCACCATGCTCCATATACCAATGCATTGTTCCCTGATGGTCAAGCGCCGCCGGCTGGAGTTGCCTTTTCCATTATGTTCTTATGGTAGCTAGAAGGGCCCGAAATCCACAAGAAGGGCCCTCC